CTAGATCAAAGCAGCATATATTAATCTTGACGGATATATGTTCGTAACTTTTTGCCTTTCTTGTAACTCACCAATGTTACCCACTGTGCTTTCGTTCGAGCAGCTAGCAACCCAACAAGCCTTCCTGACTTAATTTATTGCTCGGTGTACTTGCCCCCTTCCCATCCATCCCAAAACAATAATGCCTTCTGCTTACTCTCTCCTTTTAAGGTACCGTATGCGGTCCACGGCCACGGTGGATTCGTTACCTTAAGCATTATGGACAGCAAATACGATGCCAAGATGACGGAGGCAAACGCTGTGCAACTTCTCAAGGCCTGCGTTGATGAATTACAGAAGCGGTTCGTTATCACACAGGATCGTTTTGTGGTCCGTGTAGTGGATAAAGATGGAGTTAGACAGCTACCAGATATTGTATAACTCTAGGCGGGCACGTGTACTTAACATAAAAATCTTCTAATTGCAACATTCATCTGCTCCCTTCCCTTTCTTTTTTGAATCTGGGCTATCCTGTTTGCGTTTTACTCGCTGGAATCAATACCTTACATCAGTCTGTTCTGAAGGTCGCCAATTATGCCCCGGTATGATTATAAGGCCGCATACAATGAGTTGCATTGCATGAAATATCAATTCCTAACTTCACGATAGGCGTTAATTATCACCATTATTTTAACCGTGAGTTGTCCAGTTTGTTTGCAAAACACTTTGTCATTCTTTGAGAGCCCTCCTGCGTCCGCGCTTAAATTATTAATAACGTAAAGTTTGAGAGCTGACGTTGAAAAATTAGTTGTCTTTTGAAATTTTCGCGAAGTTGCTTGCGAAGTTCCTAGATTTCTCTGTCTGTCGCTGAACGCCTTTTGAGTGTCTGGGTAACCAACGCTGGGAAATGGACAAATGGTCGTAGACTTTGCCTTCCCACGGAGGTGGTTACAACACTACAATTGATGGGGACATACTAGGGTGAGAGAGGCCTTTGTAGTCTCCCTATATCGTCTTCGCTACACAAAGGGTTTCTGCCGCCTATTTGAAATCCGTCGGGTTT